TTTTTTTTTTTTTTGGAATAATTTAAACAATATTCAGTTTCATTCTCGGTCATGTAAGAGCTTCTTTTGCGTTTTGGGTTTATCACTGTAACTTGATACTGATGATTTAACTGGTTTTAGTTGCACGTTTTACTGTAAGTTCGTATGGATGTGTCAGATATCAGAAGATAATGGGTCACAATGGTCCGTCAACGTCTGCCTCAAATTCTCGTAAATCCAGCGTAATTTCCAACCATGTATCGAGACCGACATCGTCGTTACGAAGTCTTCATCTGAAACAGCATGAGGTCAACGAAAAAACTTTTCATGCCATGGAAATTGGTAAAGATATTTTCTTGATTGACTGTTTAATCGTCGCTTTCGCGAATAAAACAAGACGCAGCTTTCAGGCAGATATCATTTTTATGAAAAAACAGCTTATAACCACATGATGTTGAAAATAGCATGGTTTACTGTAGCCTTCACTTTTAATCAAGATTCTTTTTGTCATAAAAAGGAGATGCTTATTTAGTCCGTATTTATCTTTCAGCAGTCTTATATTCTGAACAAATACCGTAAGCTCAAAATTAAAAGGATTAGGGTAGCAGCTGTATTCACTTTTAATTTATCCTCGTTACTTCCAAAATGCACGAGTATTATTTTGACTGGAAATTTGGGTTTCTTTTAGGCCATAAAGTATGCAAACTTTTGCTCCTCAAACGTTGGGAACCAGTTAATAAAAAATTATCGTACAATCGTGAAACAAGGCAACTGCTGCTTACAAAGTATGAAGCAACAAATTCGCGGGTCAGTTTTATGCCAGCTAATCAAATTTAAGGCTTGTTTAGTGTATAATAAGAAAAGTGGTTTTATTTAATTACAGTGTTCAGTTGATTTCATTAGTAGTTTTTCACCTGTATTTGTTAATTTGCTTTTAAAAGTTCAGTCAAGAAAACTTTAAAGTTGAGAAAAATTGAAAGCTTAAAATTGATTGAATTGACACTCTTAATTTGGTGTTTTTTGTTTAATATTGTCTTGCTTTTAGGGAAATAGTTCGATGACGTTAGATTTGAGACATGTTAAAGAGGTGCAAACTTTGGAATTTAAATTAGGTACTATGAAAATACAGGATAAATGGGCTAAAGACAAAGATATTAAACAACTTGATGCTGCAAAAATATTATTAATTGCATTTGGAACTGGTTTCTTGTATAATTATTGGATTCTACTGTGTATGTTCTTCTAATTTATTCAAAAGAACACTTTTTTGGTCACCGATGGTTTAAGACAATTAAAAGTTGTTTTGAATGAAAAAGATAGTTTTTAGTCTATCAGACTATTTTTTTGCAGTTGAAAGTATAGATGTTTGCCAGATGTGGCTTGAAGGAGTGCAGTATTTAATGACTGAAACCCTTGGCGCAAGCCACATACTTGTAGTGGAGCGATGGTTAAGGAAGGAGTTCTACAATATTGAAGGTGCAAGTAACCAAAGGTGATTTTAGCATACTTTTTTTTGCACCTTATCAGACTGCATCTTATAGTCCAAATAACAGAACTAGGCAAGGTTGCCCTTGACTTGTGCGCAGTAAAATTTTCATAGAGATGCAGAAGAAAATAGCATGCAACTTTGCAACTTGCTTCTATAATTATTCTATTATGGAGGTTTAATTCTGATAAAATTGATTCGTCTAGGGTTCTAAGGAAATATATGAAACCTTTTGTACAGACAAGGTTGCAGTACAAAATACAGTCAAAACAACTCCAAGAAATTGCTGAAGTAAGTTTTGTATTGCTGCGAAGTTAGGCAATCAAGGTTAACTGGTGTTTGTTTTTATTGCTGTTTATGGAATAATTAAGCAACAGCTGAAAATTATTACGTTTAGGAAGAAATGACGTTTGATTCTTTCTCAAGTGCTTATCGAAGGCTTATCTTCTTACATGACGTAAGTTTTAATGGTTATGATTGTTCACATAATTTATCTTCACTTACAAAGGTATTTTAATGGAATTTTTTTATTCAGACAAAGAGGTTGAAACATTTATTCAACCTCATTTTTCAGTTGTTTGCTGACCGCTTCTCGATTTATTCTGATGGTGCTGGCCTGATTAGTTTCAATAATTTTCTTCATTTTTTGAAAGATATGCAGGCGGTAAAAGAACTTTCGTTTTTTTTTTCTTTTTGCAATTTATCAAATAAAGTTAGTGCACAAAGATATATGCATATTTCCAAATTGAATTAAAAGAAGTGTTGCAGGATGAATTAGGGGATCATCGAGAGCAAGCTAGCGAATACTTACGACGTTATCTTAGGGAACTGGACGCTTCTCGAGATATTCCTGAACCGTCTTTAAGCGTATCTGAGGTGATACATTCAAACTTTCTTTTATTCTTCCTCTTCTATTGAAAATACATCTGTACTGCAATCAGTGCAGCATATTTTTCGTAGACTGTTTTAGTTTTGTGAGTATCTGTACTCGCGTGAAAACTCAATTTGGGATTCTGTAAATAACAGAGTGGTACATGATATGAATCGTCCGTTAAGCCATTACTGGATTGCGTCCTCTCATAATACGTAAGTAAGCTTTTTAGCGTGTTCTTAAAAATGAGAAGCAACAGCATGCCGTTTGAATAATGTCTATTTGCCTTATACTGATGCGTTATAAATAGTCTCAACAAGAAATATAAAAGGACCTACAGAATCCAATATCAAGCATTCAATTACGTCAACAAATTTCAGTTACTTGACAGGTGATCAGCTGAAAAGCGAATCATCGCTTGATGCTTATGCACGATCACTTCTGATGGGTTGTCGCTGTATCGAATGTTAGTTTAAGTCTTTGCTTTAAACTTGTCCTCTAAACACTTTTTCACTTTTGAAGGATTTATGTGTTTTCTTCATCTAACAATTAAATTTTTTTGATTATCTGCACGTTATTAGTGGATTGTTGGGATGGACAGAAACGAAGACCAAACGACTTTCTTGAAATTGTTATTTATCATGGCTATACAATGACCAGTAAATTGAATCTGAGGGACGTTCTTCAAACAATACGGCATTACGCGTTTGTGAACAGCGAGTAAGCTGCTATCACTAGAAAAACTTAGTAAATATAACTGAATAAAATGAGTGCATAAATCTACTTATCAAAATGGCAATATTTGAACATATACTGAACAGACAACTGAAGAGGAAGGTTTACCTTATTTGTCATAATAGGGTAAATTTAACGATGCAGCGACAAGTCAGCATAATTTTAGTTACCTTTACTTCAGCTATTTTTTTAGCTTTTGCCTAGTGATGGGAACTGCAACTTGATAAACCAGTATTTTAAATGCTTTTTAGTTCTGTACCTGAACTTAATGTTTGAAAAAGAATTAAAATGTTGTTTTTATCTAGCTCATTTGAACAATAGTCATTAAGAATTACAAGTTCTTGACAGAATGGTTTGTTTTTTGCATTATTAAGTTGGTATTTTATAATAATATAGTAATTGACGGAAAATAATAAATAAATGCAATGAAAAAGACCGTAACTTAGTTTTTTTAGATTCTGCCGAATGTGCAGTGCAATTATATAAAAATTTGTTTATTTTATTTAATACTAATAAGCGCATTTAAGAGCAGTTATCTGGCATTTAACAATTGCTTTTTTTGGTAGGTTGTAAGTTAGTGACTGAGAAGTAATTTTTAAGAATACTTAGAATTTCTTGAGAGTTTAACCATCTAACTGGATAAACCATTTAA